TGGATAGCCATTTGTCTGAAATGGTATAGGGTTTCCTGCCTAGGCAGGGGGTTGGACTAGAAGACCTCCAAGGTCCCTTCCAACTCTGCTATTGTTTTTATATTTATTTGTATTTGGAGGCACATTAAAGTGAAGTCCAGATCATATCAGAAATAAATGTTATCTTTGAAGTGTCTTGCAAATATGTCAGAGTGAGCCATTAAAGGAACATAACATAAATAACATAAATAAAGCATGCAGACATTACTTGTTTGAGATCAAGGGAATAGAAATCTCTCACACAAAGGAGTTCACGCAATACAAATGAGTGCCATATTCTTGGACTATAAGATGCACCTGAGTATAAGATGCACCAAGATTTTGAAGAGGGATACAAGAAAAAAAATCATTCTTGCCCTTCCCAGCCCTTAGAAGCACTCTGCAGGCCTCTCAAACTCTCTGCATGCCCCATTTTAGCAAAACCTGGGCCTGTTTTTGGCCTCCCAAACCCCACCCCACGCATCCCGTTTTTCCCCTCCTCAGCCTCCAGAAGCACTTTGCAGTCCTCCCAAATCTTCTGCCAGCCCCATTTTAGCAAAAACTGAGGTTGTTTTTGGCCTCCCAAACCCCCCATGCACCCCGTTTTTGCCCTCCCCAGCCCCCAGGAGCACTCTGCAGGCCTCCCAAACCCTCTGTGTGCCCCATTTTTGTGAAATGGGGCCATTTTCACAAAAAACGGGACATGTGAGGTGGATTTTTGGGAGACCATAAATGGCCATATTTAGTGTATAAGATGCATCAACATTTTCACCCTCTTTTAGGGGGGAATAAAGTGTGTCTTATACTTTGAAAAGTATGGTATTTTTGTATAACATTCAATGCAGGTAGTCCTTGACTTAGGATAGGTCACTTAGCAGACCATTCAAAGTTATATCGGATTCCCCCAAAACTACTTGCAACCCCATTTCAAAGTTATGATGACTACGACATCCCCACAGTTGTTTGCTTTTACAAGGATATTCAATCCTGCTGGGTCCCTGCAGTTACTTATCCACCCATTGGAGATCAGGCAGCTGTAGCAGGCATGAGTCAGCTGGCGCTTGCAAGCCTCAGTTTCCTTCTCATGTAGCAAGCGAGGCGAGGTCAAGGGGGGCAGAGTTTGCAAATTCCAACTGACTTGATCTTCTCTTACATGCTGGATGGGAAGAAAGCTGAAGGTCTGTGGAGACCCTGTCAAGAAGTGGAGCCCAGGGTGCCTCAGGTGGCGCAGGTACCCTTGGAGGCCTGAGCAGGCATTCCGGGCCTACCCCTCCGAGGCACCCTGCGCTCTATTGAATGATTCTCTCATTCATTTTATGTTTGCATCAGAGAAAACAAGGAATGGGGTCATTACGTGAGGCTGTTTCACTTAACAGCTGTTGTGCAGTTCAAGGTGGCGCAGTGGTTAAATGCAGCACTGCAGGCTACTGCTAGATCAGCAGTTCAGCGGTTCAAATCTCACCGGCTCAGGGCTGACTCAGCCT